ATTGGAGACCACGGAAACCCACCAAATGCAGACAATCCACGAAAACCCACCAATTGCAGACAATTCAAAAACAATCTTCAACAACCCAGAAAAAAAACTTCACGGTAGACCCAATTCCACCACACACCAAGTAGAGCAAGATAGAACTGGCACAGTAAGGATGCCAAAAAACAGTGACAGACGAAACTGAAGCTAAAAAATTACACAGACAGTGTAGAAATGGCGGACCTGAAAGTGGACAGAAGATACCCGTTCAAAATCGGTATTTGGAGCCGGCCATAATCAGTGGAGAAGCCCAATGCTCCGAAGGCTGGAAGACTAGGCTGGCGGAACTGGGCTTGACGAGAAGAAAGCCAAAAAGAGGCCGAGCCGACTTGACGGAACTCGGCAGATACGGGCGTGCGTCGACTAGGGTTAGAGCTCGTGAGCTCTGATACCATGTAGTGTTGAGAGTGTAATTTTCTATATCATTGAACTTACGAGTGGTGACAAAGTATATACAAAAAAGGAAAAAAATGATATTTACATCTTAGTCCCTAACAATTTCCAAAGGCTACAAGTTGGTAACTAAGAATAAAACTATATGTATTTCAACTTATACAATGCTATGCAATCCATCTTACCAAATTGTTGACTGTGTGGGATCTAAATTGCTCTTGTATTTGTAGATGAATCGAGGATATATTAGTTACAGGGATAGCTTAATGTCATTCATCAAAGATTTGGGATCGATAGCTCAAATGGTCGCAAAATGGAAGCTCCTAGGACGACATAAATTTTTTTTACTTACCATACACCAAATACAAATGGCTGGCTTCAGTCTCAGGAATGTCAGGTTCCCTCAGCATTTGCCAGTCTCCAAAGTAAATCCGGTAGCTTTTGATACTATAAGCACCACTGAATCTGGGAAATATCTTGGCTTTATTCCTGGATCTCAGCCATTTCATAGAACAGATAATATAATTGATTTGACTGATGCTGAAGATGGAGAAGAGGCAAATGATAGAAACCGAAGGGAAAATAACAGTATCCGAGTGGAAGAAAAAACCGAAATCTGTGCTAAATCAGCAATGCAAAGTGGACTGAACATTCGTTGCATTTCCAAACACGACAAGGTTTCTCAAACTAGGAAGAAAACTGAAAGTCGGAAGGGTTCCTGTTCGTTCAATTCATTTCCAAGAGATTTGAATTCTCCAACCTACTGGATCAACATGACCTGCACCAGATCCACAACGATTACTGTCAATGCAGGCAAGCCAGATGATAATGTACTTCCATTAATATTAGCTTTAGAGAATTCTCATTCGGTTCTTCAGGAACTAAAGTCGAGAAACAAGAAAAGCTCAGTACCATCAACATGGACCTCACAAACTAGCGAACCCCGAGCCAGTTCAATGATGCCACTCGTACTTCAGGTTTACGTTATCTAACTACAGCTGCAATTGCACAGAAGGATAGTGCCTGTAGCCATATACAGACAAGTTCGGAATTAAAGAAGCCCATCAGTTTCGCAGTTCTGTCTTGATATTCCTTTCTTGAAAGCACAGTTAAATCAGATGAAGACTTTGAAGCAGGACGAATCCTTGAACTTCATTCGATAAACGAGGCTTTAACAGGACAGTGAACAGTACGCACTAAGGGGAATCATCAAGCATTAGGTATTTCCTTAACAATCAATCTTGGCCATCAGTGGATGATTCAGATACTAATTTGGCCATTCAACTCTAAGCAGATCGAAAAGGAGGGTCCACAGTGAGTATAGCTTGTTCAGTTAGTAATATTTTTACATGTTACATAGAATGCTTGATGTGCAGATTCTTGTTTTGAACCTCGTATTTATATCTTTTCTGATACAAATAAAACAAAATGTTCAAAAACCTCCACTGTAATACTCCTGCTGCCTGTTGATTACTCCTCAAGCGCACCCAACTCTCCAGTGACGATGAGGCTGAAACCACATCACATACCCTGACCTTCGAAGTGGCTGCACGAAGGCCAGGGAAGAGGATCAGGTTGGCCTTTACGAAACAATAGCCGACAAAAAAATTATGATGGGCTATTCAATTATCATTAGAAATCTGTTTGGGCTAATCAAAATACTTCGCAGAAGTTAAGCAGGTGGGGGGAAAAAATGAAAAGTAGCCGTACATTGAAACAAAAGCAAATGGCAAAATTTAATTAAAATTTAATTGTTGTTAAAGTGGACGTAACAATGATATTCCAGCTTTACGTCAAAGTGGTAATAATTGTTACACGAGCGAGCATTATTGAGTACCCTCAAAACACTGACGCAAGTTGAATGCAAGAAAGGGAAAATTGCAATGTCTTCGTGGGTTTTGGAGTCTTGATTTTATAGAATCGGGACAGAGACCAACAAAGAATAGTTTGAATGAATCTGACACCATACCTCAACCAAAATCTCGCTACCAAAAGAAATGGAAGCACCCTTTTTTGTATAATCGATTTGAGAGGGCAAAATTGTTCAAATTTTCATCAAATCGTTGTATGTTCAAGTCGAAAAGTAAAACAGAACTTCATAAAGTTAAACGTGAAAGAAGTACGCAATGATCGAAAATGAATTTACGAGTAACGAAATGTTATGATAAACAAGTTTGAAATATTTATTCATTTATTTATTAATAAATCCATCTTTGGTGGTGAAAATTAAAATTAAAATTTTAATGTAATCAAAATAAATAATTAATTTCAATCGCAAATTTTATAAAATTCACAATTTTTCAATTACATATCTTATTAATTATTATAGAAAAGCTTACAATGAAAAATGAAGGTAAAACATTGTTTGACCAAAGATACTCTTTTGACCCCTTTCTTTTATTATTTATTATTAATGTCAATTCTCATAAAAAGTTTAACCTATTAGAAAAACTCAGTGTTCTAAAATGCGTAATGTGTGGCGATGCTTGAAGAACAAGTCCAGGGCTAGACGAGTTTAAGCGAGACATATACGTAAAAAAACATTTTCTTATTTTAATATTATTTCAATTTTTAATCAATTAAAAATAATACTTACTAAACATTTAAAACAGATTTATATGAACTTTATACATTTTTTCAAAATTTTCAATAAAAATATAAGTTTCAAATTTAAACAATCATTTTTTTTAATAACTTGGGTGCCTTAAGAAATTATCTACCGTAAATAAGATTCGTTGATCACTTGATTTTTGGGTTCAAATGGTTGTTTTAATTTTAAATTAAGGCAATCTGAAGAAATTAGTATTTAATAATTTTTAACTTCAAAAGAATTGTGTAAAAAAATAAGCGCCTAGACGCATATTTACCGATGAACAACTGTCGTTAACAGCCGAATAAAATGCTAACTCATTAGGTTTGGCGTTTTGGCAGCGCCTAGGCAGCCTTTCAGAACACTGAAAAAACCTGATAATTTCCAAGGGCATAATCGTCAATCGACTTTATTTTGACAGCACAGCAACCTAATACTTTCTCTCTCTATCACCTGTTCACATGACAAACCCTCCCTCTCTAAACTCTCTCACTTTCAGCGACTGTCCATTCATTCAACAGACTCCACTACTCCATCTTCAAGCACAGCGCAATATATATACTGTATACACACACATATATATACAAGCCTATATATATATAGAGGGATTCGTTCGTATAGTCCCCTCTCTAATACAAGTGGCGTGCTTCTACGTATGTTGAAATTTTCGGGATAAATATGTACGTAAAAGTGAAACGCTTTTGTTGGTTTGGTGGATCTCGGGTAAAAACTTCTAAGCTTACAGTTTTCTGAGCCAGCTTATTGTTGGAATTCAAGCAGAGAAACAGTGCGTTAGATCATCGTTCTCAAACTATTTCAGCGTGTGGTGTTTTAATCGTCGGCATTGCTGAAGATTTGGGGTTTTCGAACTATCCTAAATAAGGTACTTTTTTTCTCGGTCTGGGAAAAGGAATAATTACTTATTTTCTTTCCTTTTTTATCCGTGGAAAATAATCTACATTGACGCGAATACTGTAATCAATCATCTGTAGTTGGGGTTGAGAAGGGGAAGAATCTAAAAGCAATTTGGTTATTAAAACTAATTTTGACGGAGAATTGAAGAAAATCTTGTGTTCTTTTTTATGAGGGTCTCTTTCAGAATAAAGAAATTTAAAGGGTTAAAAAGTGCTTCTCGGACTCTGCTGCTTTGCAACGGTTTATAGCTTCTCGTATATACTTGCTTTACCATTCAAGACAAGAAATGTGGATCTTTTGATACACAGTTTACCGTTGTTAACGAATGCAGAATCAGATTCTTGGCAAATATATCAATTGTTTAAGTCCGTGAGGTGTAATTTTGAAGCCTGCTTTTGGGTTACTATAAAAGTGAACCAATTTGGGAAATCTAGTCTTTAGTAATGCTCTCTTACCTATTCTGGATCTAAGTATAATCACTTCAACACTTTCTTGGTTGACATTGATTTGTACGAGTCAATTCAGATTGATAGATTCTCGCTGATTCGTTAATACTTTGAAGCATCGAATGGGACTTCTTGGAAGTCTCACGATACTGTTGTTTTGCTCTTTGAGAGTTGTCATGTCCCAATCAAATTCGACAGGTCGAGCTCGGGCACTTGATGCACTCCTCCAAGACTATGCTTATCAGGCATTTCTTCGCCCTAGGACCGGTGTTGTTTATGATGGATTTGTACCCTCTAATTTGACAGGGATTATGGTTTCAGCGATGAGGCTAAGGAGTGGTAGCTTAAGGACACATGGAGTTAGCATGTACAAAGAGTTTGAGATTCCTAATGGCGTGGTCGAGCATCCTTATGTTGAGAGGCTTGTTTTGGTGTACCAGAACTTGGGCAATTGGTCTATAGTGTACTATCCTCTGCCTGGTTACATGTATTTAGCTCCTGTATTGGGTCTTCTAGCTTATGATGCTTCAGACCTTATGGCTAAAAACTTGCGTGAGCTTGACATTCATGCGTATGGTCAGCCCATATCGATAAATTTTTCGGATATAAAATCATTGCCAGAAGGGCCAGCTCCGAAGTGTGTTTCATTTTATGTAAATGGTACGATTAGTTTCAGTAATGTATCTCCTAACAAGACATGTACAACATTCCAACAGGGGCATTTCTCTATTGTAGTCGAGTCAACTGCTCCTGCACCTGCTCCTGTGTCTCCTACACCTGTGTCTCCAGCACCACCAGGACCTGGAGGTGGTCCAAAGCAAGGTCCTATACCAAGTGGCCACGGCAAGAAGAACAATTCGAAGGTCTGGATTACCATTGGGTCAGTGCTAGGAGGATCGGCATTGTTGATTATGTTAGGGCTTCTAGTACTCTGGGCATGCAAGTACAAGAAGACAAAGAAAATGCAGCATATGGAGAGGGCTGCTGATGTTGGGGAGTCGTTGGAAATGACTAGGGTTGGAAGCACAAAAGCACCAGCAGCTACTGGGACGAGGACTCAACCAGCCCTCGAGACTGAGTATGTGCCTTAATTTGTTCAGTCGACATAGGTTTGACCTCCACGATTCATATTCATGCCCTTGAATATTCTTCCAAATCTCACCGATTTTTCTTGGCGTCTAGTACATTGTTTTGTTCTTTTCCTTGGTAGGTTGGAGGTTGTGGCGTGAGGAATATAGGATTATTATTGTAAATAATAATCTGTGACCTCTTACAACAACCATCCATAGTTTGATGATTACTTGTGTTCAACTAGGTTGTTACCAGAGTGATTTCTTGATTGATTTTTTCATGTTCCATTTACAATTAATAAAAATTTCAGTGGCCCTTGTTCTCTTTGGCCAGTCAATGATGACTGACTGACTGTAGTTAAGTGACTTCTAAGTCTCTTTTGAGTTTTGAGGTGTAATTGGACAACTTCAATTTCCAGTTTGCTGGTAGCATGTTAACGTTCCAATTTAGTCGAAAAAGCTCCAGAAATTGTTCACATTAAAGCTGGCATTTATTACAGTTGGTGCTGGTCGACGTGTAAGACAAGCCCAACAAATTCTGCTATTTTTTTTTTCATTTCTAGTCAACTTTAAGAATTTAAAAAAAAAGAAAAAAAAACCCAAGTGGGCCAACCAGTGCGGGCCCTGGGCTTTGAAGAGCAGACACTACACGGCCTGCTTCTTTAGAGGGACCAACTGTTGCTGAACAAGGGTCGAACTGCCTCGGCTTGAACAGTCTGACCCACCTTTACATCCCCAGTAAGGGGTGCGTTTAAATGTGGGCATGTGGCAGCAGTAACTGCTCGCTCAAGAAATAGAGGGAACCTGACATTTTATAATTGAATACAGCCGCAGCGAGACGAGGTTAAGACCGTCAGTGATTTGATAGCTTGATCGTCTATTAGACTTGTCGGTAGGTGTTCATCGAAGATGGTATGAACCTGGCATCTTATAATTGAATACACATTCTAGCAAAGGAATCCTTTACCTCTATGCTTTTTGATAAAGACAGGACAAAATATCATTTCTTCCCTTTATCATTTCTATGCTTTATTAGTTGACAATGGAGTGGCTATCATATGCTTGTCAAGTTGTCCTGCCAACCACAGAAGTAAAACAAAAAAATATCCTAATAGAATTCTATTTTTTTAATGATGCAATAAACATGAATTCCACTATATCAGAACAGCCTCTATAGTACCAACCACCAAATAGAGAATAAATATTATCAATGAAACATAAAATTCTCAACTGGAGAACTGACGAGTCATTTACATATTGGGTAAAGAAAACTTGTTTTCAAGTGCCAAGCAATGCTGGTACAACCTTTACATTTATAAATGATCATTTGGTAATCAATTTGCAATGTATAATGGTATTGAACAGAGAAGGCATTTACTACCCATCAAACAATATCAAATGACATTGATTTTTAAAGTGGCCCCAGGCACGAAAATTACATCCTATTATTTAAGCAAGCAATCTTAATGTCTGGATATCAACAGATTCTCGTGTTCGAATGTACACAACCCAACCACAAGTCTTCAAAACTTTGTTCTTTCTTGACATCGCCATTAAATTCATAAATATCTATACATGTGATCCTTAAATTCCATTTGAAGATCATGCTAAAACAGAAGAGGTTTCTCCCATACCCATCAAGTTTCTATGTAGCTTACCGATGAATTTACAGACAATATGATAATGAAATCCAAGTTCAGATAGTCCTTGGTAGTTGATTGCACACAATGTAGAGGAATATGTGGAGAGTTGCATTATCATGTTTCATTTTCTTCGCACTCCTTCCCTCCAAAGCAAATCCATCTAAAGGCAATTACATATTGCAATTTTTTTATTTTTTCGTTCTCCTTGAATAAATAGCTCTTAACTTTTTTAAGTTCAGCAGTTTTCAACTTTTTTGTTTTACGCAAGTGTCCGAGCAGAGATTATTGAAACATGCAAATATGAATATAACGTTAATGAAAAAACTCTAGAATTGAGGCACCATCTGGGCATTTGTCATAGAATTCTTTCGCCCCATCAAGGATTAAACTCACTAATGACATTTTCCATACATTGTTCAAGACGTTAAACAGCAAAGCGACACATAGCTCAAAAGAACTACAATCTCTGAGTTTGTAAACAAGTTCACTGCTTGAATATCATAAAATTTCTTGCGAGCCCTTTAATGTAGTCCTCCTGCCATAAAAGGAAAAAGGAAAAAGAAAAAATTCAAGTGACAAAGTTTCACCAAAACTACGGTAATAGTAGGAAAACAGAAAAACAGGAACAAGAAAAGAAGGAAAACAGGATTGAAACTAAAGTCCTCTTCCAGAAAACTCGTATTAATCGAGCTGAAAAAAGTAATAAGACAAGTAACATATCAAGTAAAAATGGTGATCACTTAGACCTCCCCTCAACCCCAAAATCAATCTTGAGCAACACCGATTGAATTTTCATCCAGCCTAAGTGCCTAACTTAGCAGCTTGCAAAGAGTCAACACAGGATTTTTAGAAGTTCCTCCAAACTGATAAATAAAATGGTTCACAATGTTATTGCTGAATCACTTCCAATCAGAAAGCATGCTGGGCTCTTCTATCAATTCATTTATGAAATTTGCATCAATATACTGCCATTCACTTGCATTTTCTCCTTTTCTGTTAATTTACAACGTCAATGGGACTGATTGAAATTATATGGTTGAAACTTGAAAGATAGGTGAATTAGAAACCAATAGCTATTTCACATTGCTGTTGAAAAGATTGACCTAGAGTATGTTTATGGAAAGATTTTCAGAAGCATTTCTAATCTTTCATAACACTTGGTTTCAGGTGGTGGAGAGCAGGAAAACTTCATTTGTTCCTTTCTGAGAAAAGTTTAAAAAGCTGGACCAGACCAGCCAGTTAGAAAGAACTGGTGACCGGGTATCAACTATTGCATATTCTAGCCGACATATGTTCTTTTTAAACTTTTTTTCAATCAAGAAATTCTTTGACATTAGACAATTACTTTAGTAAGTGCATCCGATGTTAGCAAGGTTCAGGTCATTTAAACTAAACTGTGGTGTGTGCATCCAATGTAAAATTACTGTAGTGACAAATATATGGTCATTCCCATGTTACACAGAGTCTCAGAGCTTGATTAATGTACAGGACACTGGACACAATTGAAGAGTGCAAAATGAGAATAAGAATGTAAAATCTTGCTCATTGCAATTCCAGTCCAGCCAAACATGCCATAAGAAGCTGATGAATAAAATAGCTTGAAAAATCGTAATTTTCAAGATTTCAGAATTTAATAAAACTACCTTACCGTTCTTCTATTACCCAGAATTAAAACCAGCTCCTATTTACTGTTCAGATAATAAGTTAGTCTTAGTTTTATCTCGTTCATCGCTTTATGCCTCAATTCTTTCAGCTTCATTAATCAGTATTTTTCCAGTGTTAAAATACATGAGAAAGCTAGCAGCTCCCTAGAAGTAATCAGACACTTGCACGTGTCATTATGCTTCACATCCACAAATTGTGAACATAATTAAAGTAGTCTTCGAGCAGAGGCAGATTATAGCCACTTCAAGGCCATATTCAGTAACTTCATGATTAAACTAAATATAAATCAAAGTCTCAAGTGTTCCAAGTGGAAATGAAACAAGAAACCCGTAATAGCAAGAAAGTCAACCATTAAATCTGGAAAATCTAGGAGGCATAGATTTTAGTGAAGGTTTGCGTCAAATCCGTTTGTTCATACCATACAAATGAAATCGACCTTTAAATAATCATTTGAGTAAACCCTAATCCGCTTAATTTCGCGTGGAACAAAGAACCTCAATCTGAATGCATAAAAAGATCAAATTACAGGAAACGAAATATTAAAGAATACCAACGCAAAGTGGCTAATTAGAAGAGGAAGGAGAAGAGATCATCTCCACGAGCTTCTTGTCCCGTCTCTCCATCGCCACGTCCCAAACGTCATTCCCAATATGCTTCGGCTGCCATAAATCAATAAATTTAGTAAATATCTGAATGGGAAAAAAGGAAAATCAATTGAATCTGAAAAAAAAGTAAAGAGCAAATCGAAATACATAAAAAATGGACACATACTCGGCCATGGGCAGCCTTGTGGATGAAGTACTGAGCATTGCCCATCACGCAAAGCATGCCTGCTATGATCCCCAACGGTAACATTGCTTCCAACCAGATCAACCCCATCTCTCTCACTCTCTCTCTCTCTCACACTCGCACAGTTCAATGGCTTCGCTACTTCCCAATCCTCTACTGCTAATTATCCTTTCCCAGTTCTTCCACCCCCGCTATGGACTCTGAACTTGGGCCTGAACGAATAAGAGACCGCAAAATTGATACAAATAGCACTAAATTTGATCATACAATGACTTTAGCTCTATTTGACAACTACTAACTACATTTTCAACCACACATTTTGACGATAAAATATTTTGCGCGAAATTCAAAAAAAAAAAATTTTTTGAACTACATATTCTTCTATAAATAATATTCCAAAATTTAATTTTCTCAAAAAAAAAAAAAGTGAAACAAAATTTCCACTTTTATACTTCTCGACTTTGTAATATCGAATCCGTCTTAATTAAATAAAAATTAGAAACATCAACACACAAAAAAAAAAATTAAAAGAAAATTCACATTAATTCACTAGAACTCAATTGAAATATTAATTTTAATAGATTTAATTGAAATAAATGCTATTTATTAAAAATAACAGTGAGATTGCAGTTTGAAAAATAAAGAAAAAAGAAAATTGTTCATACCAAACGTGCCCTTACAAAGAGTACAGCTAGGATGCTAATGAACATAACACAAGACGAAAAAAAAAAAGAATTGAACATAGAATACTGTAGCATCTCGGCTCAACGGCGCCGTTTTAGCAATTGTCGATCCAGCTAAGACTTCGTTGGCACCATCAATCGTCACTGGCAGCATGCTCCCAAATGGGGCCCTGTCCCACTCCCTCTCCTGCATGTAGGACACGTGTCGGCGGCTCTCAAGAGACTTCTAGCAAACTCCCACGCGCCACCGCTAAGATTTATCCCCTTTCACCACTGCCACTCATACCATCAAGTCGTTGTCTTTACTAAAAATCTACTGTTCTTCTGATTATTATTTTCTGTACTGTATTAAGAAAGGAGCGTGCAACGCTGTCTAGGACGAAATTATTTTTTGAATTATTTGACGTAATTATGTGAGAGTAAACAAACAAAGAAAAAAAGGAAGATTTGGGTCTTCCTTTCAACAAATTTCACAAACCTTTCGATACTTATTTTATTTTATTTTAATTACACAAACCCTTTTCGAAGGTTCTCTCTCCTCTCTCTATTTCATTTTTTCTACTGAGCTCTGTAAGGCTGAAACGATTTGATTGTTAAGTTATGTCGGGCCTTTACAATCCCAACTTCTCTCCTGCAAGAGCTGTGTCTCCACATATTAGACACCCTTCAGATGTAGACGGGTATGTTTTTACTATCTTTTGATTCTTAAGTTAATTAGTAACTTTGAATTGGTTCTGATGATTTGATCGATGTGGGATTTTGATTTTGTTGTTTCTTTTAAACAAAAATTTGTAGTCAGTACTTGCAAGAGCTGTTGGCGGAGCATCAAAAGCTTGGGCCTTTCTTGCAGGTTCTTCCCATCTGTAGCAGACTCTTGAATCAAGGTGAATTTTGATTTTTGATACTGACAGACTTACAGCGTGTGTTGGATCTATTCTAGGTTACTGGGTTTTTGATTGTTTTTTCTTGCATTTTGGGGGATTTGGCAGTAATTGTTTCCTTCTAGATGTACTAGTTCAATCGGATATATTTATGTACCTGAATGAACGACCTCCTGTCACTTACCAGCAAGTTTTCTAGCTGTTCCTTCTGCAATTCAACATTCGTCTATAAAGTCTCTGCCTTTTGTTATCATTTGCATCTAAATTAGTTCTTTTATGAGTAATTATATTTCTTGATTTGGTAATAGCCACTGGCCGCCCAAGTGAACACATAATGTAAAGATGTCCACTCATCCATGTGAAATATTCATCTTCATTGGAGCTTTTTGGTAATGAAATAAAACTAAATCAAATCATTGTGTGTAATTTGAATTTGGAGACTTTGAATATAATCCTGTGCAGTGGGGAATCAGGGGAACCAAATGCTTAAGAGTTAACCAATGCACTTCCAATTTTTTTCATTTGGGGTGGGGTTGTGCTGTGAATCCAGACACAAGTGTGTAATTGGGACATATATGTGAATAGATAATGTTACCCAAGTTTGTAAGCTATTCCCGATACCCTATCACGAGTGGCTAAGAATTGTTTTCGAAGGTTTAGAACAGACTCCAATTATATTGTTAAATTTCACTTATTTTGAAGCAAAGACACTGGTCGATATTTCCCTTATCGAGCTAGATATTAAAGCTATTCACATAACTAACGAATATTTGCTTATTTATAGGGAGATGTGTTAAAATACTCATTGAGTAAGGACTTGCCAGACGAGAGAAACTATATGATTGACAATGATATCACAATTTTGTGTGCCAAAACTGATAATTAGAGCTTCTCCTATCATGAGAAGCTCCAGCAGAGTAGTTCAAGCTTTGAGTAAATATCCATGACCAAGGAATCTCCATAACTTGCTCATCTTTTCAATTTTTATTTTTTAACTTTGGCAGTATGTGGTGCATTTTCCATGGGCACATTTTGGCATTGTGCTTCAGACACTAATTAATATTTATTTTAGGTGATAGTAGCATTTAACGATTTTCTGCTCGAGCGGAGTGATTTTTACATGTGGTGTTCATATTGGAGTCAGGAATTACCTTGTCTTAGGAATCTCTTTGTAATGCAGTATTCTCTCTTGTGAAATAATCACGTGCTACAAGATTTCAACGGCTTTTGTCTAAGTGATCTTGAAGTATATAATTCTTACATTTCACTGTCGGTGCATTCTTTCAGAGATTATAAGAGTTTCCTCAATGATGCCAAACCAAGGTTTCAATGAACTTGACAGATTAAGACAAAGAAGTCCCAGTCCCATGGCTTCTTCGAATCTTTTATCAAATGTTGCGGGGACAGGATTATCTGGCTGGAATGGACTTCCTCAGGAGGTAGATTGTTTTCTAATCCTTTAGTTACTTTCTCTCTTATAAGCCGTATTCAGTTGATGCAATGGCATTGTACCAAAAAAGAAACTGCAATAGCATGATCTACATTTGGTATTTCTGTAGTCTGCTTAGAGTATGGGCCTATGGGGTCGGGGAGGGTGGAGGCATCCATCCTTAATGATTCACCCCTTGTTTTTTTTTTCTGTCAAACTGATGCTTGAGGTTTAGAAGTTCTAATGTCAAATGGGATGCATGAGGATTCAATGGCACGTGCTCTCTGGAAGCTGTTGTACTTGACTTGGGACTTCTCCTTTCCCCTTTTAGCAATGACATTATAGCCAAAAAGACGCTGCAATTACTTGAGTTTTTTGTGTTTCTTTAGAGTGCTTACAGTGTGAACGTGAGTGTCATATACACCAAATTGTGAATTTGCACTAGGGACAATTGATGCGAAAAAGAAAATGCATTCTGAATTTTGAATGATACATAAAATCCTTCTCTTTTATTATCTAATGGATTGCTTAATGAAAATGGCTGATGTTTCCATTCATTTCAGAACTCGTGAATGGTGTAAAACCTTTGTGAACGAGACATGTATCTTTAGATTTATTTAGCTCTGATGCTTCATTATTTAGGGTGAGTTGTCAAATCTTTTTCTACGTATTTGTGTCACACAAAAGCGAAATACTAGATCGACTCTTGCTAAAGAAACAATATGTTTCCTTTGTTCTCCCTTACTTCCAATCCAAAAGTTCTTCTGCATAAGACATAGGTTGCAAGTTCCGCTTTTGACAGAGGAGGGAAAATATCTAATTTTAAGTTAAGTAGTTTAGATCATTTTATTGAGATGAGTGTTTTATATGAATTATAGTCATTTGACTATATTATCAATTATCATTGTTGTAGAAGTGTACCAGGCTGTCTCTAGACTTCAAACAGTTTTCTTTAATCGTCTTAATGTGACTCCTGAGTCTAATTGTTAGTTCTTCAAAATATATTTCCCGAAATTGGGCAATTTTATTTCCTGTTTATTATAGAAAAGTTATTGCTGTTGAATCCATCTTATTCTTGAAATTAACAACTGCTAAGCAAATAGAATATCTCGTGTTTTTCCCTCAGCCTTTAGTTTTCTTGTAATCCACTCTACAACCTGACTCAAAACAGTCCCTTGACCAACTCCAGTTGCACTAGAAGCAAACCTTACTACAAAATTAGCAGCAACTATGGAAGCAGAAGAATTGGAAGGATTGATCATAAGTTCTGCCACCAAAAAATTGATATGTTTTTGGTGTGATCGACCAATCTATCAAGACTTACTATTTCATTGATTGGATTCATCCTGTTGAATTAGCTACAAACTTTGAATTGAAGCATAATATTGACAACATTGAAACAATTCTAAGGACCTATGCCAATTTATGGAGTCAACTATGTCTTTATATTTGTTTATTTTTTTAAAGTTGAAAAATTATTTCTCACTAAAATTAAAGACATACACAAAGAAAATGATAATGTTATGTATAAACGAATCAAGTATCACTAATTTAATATACTATAAAAAAAATACAATCAATAAATAACTCAAAAAATGTAGAATTCAATACTATAATCAACGTTATAAAATCTCGTGTTTTTCCCTCAGCCTTTAGTTTCCTTGTAATCCACTCTACAACCTGACTCAAAACAGTCCCTTGACCAACTCCAGTTGCACTAGAAGCAAACCTTACTACAAAATTAGCAGCAACTATGGAAGCAGAAGAATTGGAAGGATTGGTCATAAGTTCTGCCACCAAAATATTGATATGTTTTTGGTGTGATCGACCAATCTATCACGACTTACTATTTCATTGATTGGATTCATCTTGTTGAATTAGCTACAAACTTTGAATTGAAGCATAATATTGAGAACATTGAAACAATTCTAAGGACCTATGCCAATTTATGGAGTCAACTATGTCTTTATATTTGTTTATTTTTTTAAAGTTGAAAAATTATTTCTCGAGCCAACTAGACGTGTTCATGGTCATGAATAGAAACTTCAAGTTGCAGTTGGAGTCGCTTTCTGAATTCTCAAGTCGATACATCATGTTTCATATTGTATTAATAATGTCATTAATTATATCTTATCCTTATCAGGACGTATTCATTGTATCTTGTAAATTATGAACCTCTGCTGGTTGTTGCTTATTTGTGACTTTTGGGGATGTTGCTGGACTCCTACCTGACCTTGTACTTGTTTGTACAATCTTCATTTTCACTATTCAAATTGTAGAGATGCTTTTTGGCCTTCTATGGACATATCTGATACAGTATCTTGGAATCTGTCAGTTTTGCTTTACTATTGGGAAGCAACATAGTCAATGTTCACTTTTTGCATAGTAAACTGAGGACTACTTGTATAAAACTTGAACTTCTTGATTTTTGTTTGAACAAAGTTTCTATCTTTGAAAAAGAAAGATTGTTTCATTTGTTTTGAGCTAGAATTTGTACTGTTTAATCATTTTCTACAGAAGTTAATGCATTTAGTTCATTCTATTATGTCCAATAATTCATCAACCCGCTGTATGCTGTTTTTCTTTCTATAGATAGTTATTTTTTAACCTTTCGAAATTAAGCGGATTCCTACGATTCTTCATTGAATGGCAGAGAATGAGTGGGCCTCCTGGAATGACAATGGACTGGCAAGGGGCTCCAGCAAGTCCTAGTTCATTCACTGTGAAAAAGATCATGCGCCTAGATATTCCTGTAGATAACTTCCCAAATGTAAGAATTTTTAGTATTCTGGTTTTCCCTACTGACTTCCATTAATTCATCATAGTTCACTTTTGTTCTTTAAGATTTGAATCTTCCTCGCTTAATTTGCCATTTTTGGGTTTTGTAGTTCAATTTTGTTGGGCGACTGTTGGGTCCTAGAGGAAATTCACTGAAGCGAGTGGAAGCCACAACAGGATGCCGTGTATATATTAGAGGAAAAGGTTCAATAAAGGACCCAGACAAGGTACAACTTTTAGTGTCATTGATTTTTTCATATTCATTAAAGATGAGCTCATTGTGAAACAGCTATGCAATTGATCGTTAACAAAGAAACTTCATGTATATTGCCAACTGGTATATTTCTGTCTGCAATGTTAAGAGCATGTTTGGGAGTGATTAATATCAAATTAAAATTGAAAATATAGTCGTTATTGAGTCTCACTCATCTAATAAAAGTCAACAATAACGGCTAGTTTTTCAATTTTAATCCGATTTTAATCTCTACCGAACATGCCCTAAGTAAATTTTAATTCTCTTTGTTCGTGTCAATTTGAAGGAGGAGAAGCTACGGGGACGACCTGGCTATGAACACCTGAATGAACCACTTCACATCTTGATCGAGGCTGATTTACCTGCCAATATTGTTGACATCAGACTGAGGCAAGCCCAGGAGATAATAGAAGAACTGCTCAAGCCTGTGGTATTCATCTCAAACCAAATTATCTCTTCTCCTTCTCTACAATTTCAATTTTCAAAGACGGAAATATCTTGGAAATGAAAGTTTGAACTCTATTGAGGTGCATGTACCCCATTTATCTAAGCACACCAATATTTGCCAGCTCTTCAGACATCAATTTATTAAAGTTAATAGTATGCCTAAACCTTCTGTTGATATCAAGTATCATTTTGATAATATCTATCCTCCCTCCCCTAAAGATATGGCAGTCGGCTTAATTGCATTCATATTTTCACGTTTCTGCAGGATGAGACTCAGGATTATATAAAGAGGCAGCAATTACGTGAACTGGCCATGCTAAATTCAAGTTTCAGAGAAGATAGCCCTGGACCAAGTGGCAGCCCCTCAGTTTTCACTACTAGTGGAATGAAACGTGCGAAAACAAATTAAAAATAATTAAATTTATTTCTTGTTATATATATTATGCTTTTACCTAATTGAAAATTTAAGAAAATAGGTTCTCTCGCTTTTTGGTTGTGTTTTCTTTTTTTCCCTTAATTTCTTGAACAGAAAACCAGGAAGGGGTGAAAACAAAAAGAAACAAAGTGTCCCCAGATAGTTGGTTTTAGAATAGGTTTTGGTGATGTTTGGCTCTTGAACCCATTCATTGGATTTATTCTTGTGTTAGTATATAATGTGAAAATATGTTTATTGTTGATAAAACATAGCAACAAGAAGTGGCTTGATTTGTAGATATCTTCTTGTTATAACACCTGTGTATTATTCAAGATTCTATTTTAAGACAATATATTGTTGGCTTTTCTTACTTAATACTGTTAATTACTATTCAATCCTGCTGGATCTTGGCTATAATCGTGCATAGAGTTTCTGTATCTTGCTGTTGGTATTGTATATCTGCAGCTTGTTGCTGCTTATTGGCTTTAAATAGTATGTCATTAGCAATATCAGAAACTGCATTGTGGAACTTACCAGTGCAGTTTTTTCCTTATTTTAAGGGGGTGAAAAAAACCAGAAACAGATTGGTAACTGGTGAGTAAGTTATACTCATCCAGTTGTGGGTGGCCAAGCTGATCGTGCATGGTTATTCACATACTTGAATGCAGTCTATTGGAATTGATCGCTTGGATCGATCTTTGACAAAGAAAGTGTAATGATATTCAAGCACCAGTTTAGATGATAACTGCATGACATTAAATGATAAATTCACTTAAATAAATTGTCATGTGATTCATTTAATTTAATCTGTGATAGAGTTTTGAGTTTGGTCAAGTTAGATTTTGACATGTATGCATGTCTGGCGTGCTACGTTGGAGTGGACAATGATTCTTTTCTAATATGACTAACATTCAACTCTTAAAGTGTTATGCTTTAAACTCTGCCCAAGCTATAATTCATTTTTCACCACAGAAGGAAATTTTGAACCTAGTGGCATTAAAAACAAGTCTCTCTCTTTTGTAATTTTACGTTTTTAGCAAGTCTTCTGGATAATTATTTGCATTGATTGAGGAGAAAGGCATGTCAATTATGCAATACCTTTAATTGATGTGTCAATACACAACGTAAAAGGTTAATTTTCAATTATTTTTTTCATTTCCTATTGTTTCTGTCTTTCCTCTTTTTTCTCCCAAATTATTTTGCTTTTCCAAACAAAGGTATTCATAAAGACTGGTGAACCCCACTTCTTAAACTTTTCTGGGCACTTTAGTTGAAACAATTAAATCTTCAGGCTGAAATTGTTAATTGAAACCTTGGTAAGGAAACTTGACTCTCGGTCGAGTAGATTCATGCTAGCAGTTGGGGCAAACGAAAAATAGAGAGGAAAACCATGGTTACAAGAAGCTGATTATGTTGTGTAAAACAGAGGCCAATTTTGATATCTTCTCTAGGATCTTAGCATCTCCTTTGTGTCTGCTCAAGATAGTGTGAATGGAGATGATTTGATGAGCTTAATTGGCATTGCTTTAAAATTTTGAAAGGTGATTCAGGACTGTTCACGAAAATATATTTCGAATAAAACACACCGCAAATGTACAGTTCGTTAACAAGTAATAAAATGGATTTAAGTCCAAGTATCGTCTCACAAAGATTGATTTGTTCAATTTTACATACTCCCGACCTTAACCGAACCAGAATAATATGATGTGTTTAAAACTGAATTATATCTTAACCCACTTATACAATTATGAATGAATTAAATAAATTAAATGCAAATTATATTGAAAGCAAGTTAATATGTTTTAATGAATGACAAACATAATAGGATCTCGAATTCTCATGCAATAATCAGTTTTACACGTTGACAACATGATTGAATTTGACAAATCAATGTTGCTATTTTATTTCACAATCTCTCTCGAGTAATGTTAAACTTACTTTTTTATATATGACCCAACTATATTTTTATGATGGATGTAAATATATAAAAATGCATGAATTTTTATGAACACTTAAAAATTCACATAAGATATAGCGGTATATTTATATCACATATTGGACCCTATAACAATTTATATATGTCGAACGTATTTTCATTCTTTCGAATTCATAAAATAAGTTACCACATTCACACAATTACCGTGTACAATAATTGTGGAGAAAATAAAATCATATAAATCATTCAATATTCAAAAACGTGTTTTGAATGTCAAATATATAAAACTAAAAATTAAAAACTCATAACACATAACGCATAGTTCATCGTTCTCCTAGCACAAAGAAACCTAGTCTAACATATTGTGAAGAATGAAGCAAAAGATATAAATGTTGTTCATCACCCGGAAATTCTTGAATTCAATCTTGAACTTTTTGGATTTAATCTTGATGTGTTTTTTGCCTCATTTTGCAATTAATTCTCCACACCCTAATTATTGTTTGAGAGTTGGTGTTTATATCTCTCTAAAGAGTTCTAAAAGATCTCCAAAAATCGTGCATATCATGGTTCAAACGGAAGTTTCCTTGTTGGAATTGAATTTTAAAGGAAAAAGAATTTTTCCTGACTTAGCCTGGGCGCCTTCAGTAGAAAATGGAGCAGCTGCCCAGACATAAAAATTGACTCATGTTATTGAAGTCTAGGGTCGGGCGGCCGCTCGACCAATATAATTGGGCGGTTACCTAATTATAAAAATTTTACAAATTTTCCTTTCAGCCATTTTCCTCATCATTTCTTCCATTTTGGTCTTCCACATCAAATTACTTCAATCTTAGTGCTTCAACTTTTACTCAAATGTACATTAGTCCCCAAACCTCCATCTATTAGCCAATTGGTCATTCTTTCTTTTTCAATTTATTAGAAACGGGTCCAAAATTGAAATAAAATAAAATTAATCTAACTTAAGTAAAATTCAATACTAAAACAACACCAAAAAACTAAGTAATATGGCCTTAATAAGTTCACAAAAATGCACTTATCAGAGACTAAGAAATTTTCAATAAGTTCACAAAAATGAACTTATCAGAGACTAAGAAGTTTTCCAAGGTACTCTCCATTTTTAAAGAGCATATTATGCAATTTAGAGATCATCGATAAATTAGAGTAAACAATTTTAAGTACTTCAACGGGCTCTTTATATTTAACACTTAATTTTATTATTCCCAAAAAATATTTATTGATTGAATAATTCTACTTGTACATAATATAGTTAAATAATGGTTTATGTGCAAATGAAGTGTCAAAAAGAGAGTGAAGTTTTTTTTTATTTGGTTGAAAAAATTTTGATTCAATCATATCTCAATATATCATGTGTATGTAAACCATCATATACGTGTAACACAGTCGTTATTGTTTTTCAATATCTTTTATTTTCACTAGCTTTCATCCAAATTATTATATAATTTTCGTCTATTGAAAATTGAAATATTTGAATGTATTTAATTATAGAGAATGAATTACTTTCTAAATTAAAATATTGGTTTAAATAGTTTATTAGAGCATACTTCTAAGGACTGACTATCTAAAATAAATAGAATTTTATGTTTAAAAAATTTCTTGGAGATGTTATATTTTTTTACCTATTTGGATAATTTTCTTAAAATCAGTGTTCTAAAATGCGTAATGCGTTGCGATGCGTCGAGATCGAGAATCAAGAATCACAAGTTTAGGCGTGTCAATGCGAAGAATAAGCGTCATAATGCGTTTCGTATTTTTAATATTATTTTAATTATTTTTAAGAAATTAAATATATTTTTATATAAAAAAAATAGATNTTCTTGAATAATTTGGAGTCTGACCTTCTTTTCGCACTATTGCTGATATGACAATGATGACTATCGGATTAAATTGTCAAAAATAGGATTGGCTAACGATTCTAAAGAAACTAGAGTTACATGTCTTTTCCATTTTCATTCAAGAGTTCTTACTTGTTTCGATGCCCTTTGAGACCTCGAAAATAGACCAATTCATTTTCTTAATAATACATACAAGATTCGCCATTACAAGAAGGATGATGGTAACATTACCATTAACTACTTCATTTTTTAATTTCATAATAATAGAAATACATATTCTACCAAGACGAAATTTGTAACTCGCTCTCTTCTTGTCTAGCCGACAAAGATCGATCTGCACCAAAAGAATGATTCATTCGGATCGATATGAGAGTTCAACTACATTGTATTGCCAGAATCAATGTTGTATATTTAAAAGAGGTTGACCTCCTTGCTTCTTTCATGTATACGTCGAGTCAATTTTCTTCTCGGTCTACAAAGACAAAATGTAGGACTTGTGCCAAAAGTTCATTAAGAAAGGAAGGACTCGCTAAGGGGGTTACGAACTAATACTAATCTTATATAATGGAAAAATAATAATTTAATAGAAAAAGAACTATCGTTCTTGTTTGAGCTTCATTTGTTGGAAATGAATTTGTAACAATAATTTTTTTGAATAATGTGTGGTTGTTAGGAAAAATTTGTTGGAAATGAATTTGTAACAATAATTTTTTTGAATAATGTGTGGTTGTTAGGAAAAATTTGAGTTTACATGTAAAATTATTTTATTGACAGAATATATAATTGAAAATGAATATAAAAAAAATAGTTTTTAGATAATGAGGCTCAATCGGGAGCTAAATACTCGTTCGAATGGACGGATGGGCTATTGGAGTCATCAGGAAACAACACG